AGTGCAAAAGCACATGTCGAAAAAACACTTTATCGCGTTCCATTTTTCACAAAGCAAAAGAAATTGTTGTTTAGGAAAATAATTGTGTATGCTGACTGAATGTTATCGAGAAATGTCGAAATTAATCACAAACTACCTGTTTCGTTAGTAATGACTACTAGAACTGTTTGCATTGCCATCTAACATTTGCGGGCGGAAACTAAGTTAAGGTCCTAATATATAAGAAAATATAAAGTACATTTATTTTTATTTCGGATTAAAAAGAGGCGTTACCTTGTCTAAAAATTATTTAAAATGTTAATTAAGTGTTATGTAAAAATTTGTTTTCTCGGTCTAAGTATCAATAAGTCAATTTTAATAAGATAGTGTGTACTCAAGTGTTTATGTGTATATACAGGGTGATCCACTTAAATCGAACATATTAAATATTTCATTTATTTTTGACAATACGGAAAAATGATTCAGATAAAAGGATTCAGATGGAAGGGTATCGAAGGGGATACATTTTGGTCACGTTGTTTTTTTTCTAGGTGAAGGCGCTAAAAAGATATGTGGGTCACCTTCACTTTTTTAAATAGAATTATGATTTTCTTTATAAATATGATTGCTTTATTTATTGTATGTATAAAACACATATTTTTTGATTATTTTCTTAACTAAATTTTTTGTAGAATGAAGTATAAAATATCTCGTAAACTATTGATTTTTCGACAATTATACCTCTTAGTATTTTTATACATAAAATAAATAGAGGAATCATATTTATAAAAAAATCATAATTTCATTTAAAAAAGTGAAGTTAATCTTCATATCTTTTTAGTGTCTCTACCTAGAAAAAAGTAACGTGACCAAAATGTATCTCCCTCGACATTCTTCCACTTTCATCTGAAACATTTTTCCATATCATCAAAAATAAGTAAAATATTCAAAATGTTCAATTTAAGTGGACCATACTATATATAGAATGCCCCCCACTTTAACATTCATACCGAAATGTCTCGAAATGTACAAAAAATACGGAAAAATGTTTCAAACAAAAGTGATATGGTTCGATGGAGGACATAAGAAAGTACCATTGGTTTGACCTTGAGTGGCGCGGCCAAGATCAGATCGAGGTCAACATTGCTTTTTTAAATAGAAACATATATATTTTTTTATTACGGAATTTTATTTTATACAAAAAAGCAAACAACTTTTGTTTGAAAAATTTTTTATACGACTTCTATTTTCTAAGATATTTACGGAAATAATTACGGAAATATCTAAAAAATTATTGGTCTCAATAATTTTTTACTCAAATTCTATCAACTTTACCGAAAAATAGCAACAGATAAAAATTATCTATTTTCTTCTCATAGAACTCTGAGAATTTTTTCAGAATTTTTAATAAACTTTTTAGTACTTCAAGAAAATGAAGAAAACGATGTACTAAAAAATTAATTAAAAAATTCTAAAAAAATTCTCAGATCTCTACGAGAAGAAAATAAACAATTTTTACCTCTTCCTATTTTTCGGTAAAGTTAATAAAATTTGAATAAAAAATTATTGAAAGCAATAATTTTGTAGATATTTCCGTAAATATCTTAGAAAATAGAGGTTATATATTAAGCATTTTTTCAAATAAAAGTTGTTTGTTTCTTTACGTAAAATAAAATTCCGTAATAAAAAATATGTGTCTATTTAAAACAGCAAAGTTAACCTCAATTTGACCTATTTTGAGATATTTCGGTGTAAAAGTTAAAATGG